GATTGCTTACTTTGGGGATACAGATTAATCATTCCGGAGAAATTAAAAAATTATATTATTGGATAATTACTCGAATCCCATATGAGTACAGTAAAAATGAAGGCGCTAGCTCAATCTTTCTTTTGGTGGCCAACACTGACAAAGATATAGAGAACAGCGCAAATTCTTGCGAAATGTGTGCTTAATTTTCAAATTCTTCACCAACATATTGCTCTAACCTGTTTCAAAAATTTCTGAAACAGTGTGGCATAGCACATCTAACAATCATGTTAAAATCATGAAGAAAGAAACTTTGAAGGGTCATAGTGATGTGAATTTTGTAATGAATAGATATCTTTTCCAGTGTTGAATCACTATACATTCTACTACAGGTGAAACTCCTTCAAAGTTACTTCTGGGCTGACGACTGCCATCGAAATTTGATCTATTACTCCCATCAGTTGAAAACACAATAACTTGAAATCAAGATAAACAAAAAAAATATAAAGGAATATTAAAGCCATTTTATGAAGAGAATATGGGTAAAAAAGACGGGATCTAGAACATATTTAGTGTCTACAGACGATGGAGAAACGACTTGCAAAAGGCAAGGCCGAAAATCGAAAGAAAAGCGTTTCAAGTTATTTCGACTACTACAAAATCCACAATAACTTAAAATCAAGATAAACAAAGAAAATATAGAGGAATATTAAAGCCATTTTTTCAAGAGAAGATTGGTAAAAAGACGGGATCTAGAAAATATTTAGTGTCTACGGACGATGGAGAAACGACTTGCAAAAGGCATATAAGTAATATTCGTCTTTATTATTTCCACATTCAAAAGAATACAATAAATATTAGAAATCAAGGTTCATATTTGGAAATAAAGGTAGAAGTTTATTTTCTGTTGTGTAAACACGACAGAAAATAACTGACTGATTTGGGGGTTAAGTGGAAGAATCAGTTAAGACCGAAAATCGAAAGAACGTTCCAAGTTATTTCGACTACTACAGAATATACCTAGGTGACAAGTCCTTTCTTATTCATCCAGAGAAAATGGTCAATCTTGTCCCAATGTTGTCCCAATATTGTAAATGACAATTTTTTATCACCAAGGTCAGAAAACGCTAATTTAGAAATAGAGTCAAGTGACCGTCAAACCGACATTTCAGAAATTGACCCAAAGTGAAAGCAACATATGTTTACGGAGACGGAGTGAGTTGAAATCTTCAGAATGATTTAATCCATTGTAAGAATTAAAAGATCAGCTATTTATCGATATCAAATGTTTTTATTGAGGTGTATTTTCTGTAAGGAAGAGATGTGTATTAGAGAAATTAATCTATATACAGGGTATATCTTGAAGAGTTAACGCAATCTATATATAGGAAACTGAGAGTTGAGCGATTCTGAAAATTGGTAGGATTGGTGAAGAACTAATGAAGAATTCAACTGTAATATTATCGTTGAGCTGATGTTTCGGGTTTCACCGGAAGTGACGTCATCTTTGTTATTTTTAATGGCACACCTTGCATTTCACCTCATTTTTTAATTCTTCCCATGATTTAGATTCTAACTCATGTATCATATACTATATCCAAAATGAATCGTTTTCGAGTTATTCGAGTTTTTTTTTCAGAAAAAGTGACAGATGCAGCCCCTCGAACATACGTCATTTTTATGTAAATTAACATTTTTAAAAATATGCAGCTAGTGAATCGTGATAATTGAAGGATAATTGAACGGATCACGCATCATTTTCACGTCCACTGAATGGTCTACAGGGTGGGCAAAAACTAGGGCCCAATAAGTGAATGAGAAAAATAAAAAATCTCAACTTTTTCAAATGGGAACCCCCATTTTTTCCTCAAGGTTCAATTCTAATATGAAAATAAGCCCTAGTTATGATACACTTCCCTATACCCAAAACTTATAATTTTGGAGATATTCTATTATTTACATACTTTCCCGAAATGTTGATATTTCTAGTATAGGCTGCTGTCCATCTCTCAACACAATATTTGGTGACAAATGAAATAAAGTTGTTAATTGTCAGATTCGTGCTCTCAGAAGGTACAATATGGCTCGTGCTGATTATAATAATCACGATTTCTTTAACTTATTGGTGATTTATGGCGAATACAATAAGATGTTAACAAGAACATGTGATGTTTATGCTACAAGGTATCCAGAAAAACCGAAACTATCCCCAGATATCATTAGAAGCTTAATCTTCAACCTTACGAACTTTGGATCATTCGAAAGGAAAATTATCAAACTAAAACGGTGGTTGACAATGAAGATAATGCGATTACAGTGCTTGGGTACTACACTGCTTTTCCAGAAGCTTCTTTCAAAGATGCGGCACGAGATTTTGGATTGAATAAAATGTCCATGCAGAGAATATTAGCAAAACATAAATGGCATTCGTATTCTCATACTTTAGTCCATGGCCTGAAGCTTTCCGATTATGAGAGAAGAATTAACTTTGCGGAGTTCTTCATTATGAAAAATCAAGAAAACCACAAATTTTTGAGGAATATTATATGGAGCGACGAAGCGAAATTTACCAAAAATGGGATATTCAACAAGCGTAATTCTCACTACTGAAGCGATACAAACCCGCATTCAGTTCGGGAACGTCAATTTCAAGACCGTTGGAATTTCAATGTTTACTGCGCTGTTAAAGACGACGCAATAGTGATGATTCACTTCTATGACAAAAATTTAAATGGTTAGTTGAAAAGTATCAGAATTGTATTGTTTCATTGATTTAAAAAAAATTAAAATACATCACTCAAGAAAATGGCATCAAGGTAGCTATGTAATAAACATTCATAGCATCTAGAAAATACATAACAGACCAACAGGTATTTTTATTTTCAGGTGAACGATACCTAGATATTTAAAAAAATCTCGATACGGATCGTTTGGAAAAACTGACGCTCGCTGACCATCGAAAAATTTGGTATCAACATGATGGAGCACTTCCACATAATCATCAGATGGTGACCAGTGGTTTGGAACCGACGGTCCTCAATTATGGCCACCGTGATCGCCCGATTTAACTCCAATGGATTTTTTATTTGGGGTTATATAAAAAGCGAGGTATATTCTAACAAGCCAACAACAGAAGAAGATTTTCAGCAGAGAGTTCGTACTGCTTTCAACTCTATTCCACCGGACATGATAATACGAGCTGTAGGAGACGTCATACGGAGAAGAGTAAAATGCTTAGAAGTTGGAGGCAATGTATTTGAACATTTGTTGCAATACAAAAAACCGGTTGACAAAAGTGTCACATGTTCTTGTTTAGCATTGAAACTAAATTTGAAATTGTTGTTATTTCTAATCATGGTTTTCGTCTTGAATATGGGATTATTTTTCATGAGATATTCAATGGAAACTAGGCAACAAAGAAATTTTATCGGACAATATTGGGGGGTAAAAACGTAATTCCTCGCGTGATAACTTCTATTACGGAATACCACCAAAATTAAAAGTTTTGGGTATAGGGAAGTGTATCATAACTAGGGCTTATTTTCATAATAGAATTGAACCTTGAGGAAAAAATGAGGGTTCCCATTTGAAAAAGTTGAGATTTTCAATTTTTCTCATTCATTTATTGGACCCTAATTTTTGCGTACCCTGTGGATTATTCAGTGGACGTGAAAATGATACGTGATCCGTTCAACCTTCAATTATCACGATTCACTAGCTGCATATTTTTAAAAATGTTAATTTACATGAAAATGACGTATGTTCGAAAGGCTGCATCTGTCACTTTTTCTAAAAATACTCGAATAACTCGAAAACGATTCATTTTGGGCATGGGGTATGATGCAAGAGTTAGAATCTAAATCATGGGAAGAATTCAAAAATGAGGTGAAATACAGGGTGTACCATAAAAAATAACAAAGATGACGTCACTTCCGGTGAAACCCGAAACGTCACCTCAACGAAAATATTTCAGTTGAATTCTCCATTAGTTTTTCATCCATCCTATCAATTTTCAGAATCGCCCTACTTTCAGTTTTCTATATATAGATCGCGTTAACTCGTCAAGATATACCCTGAATAGTCAGCTCCTGCACTCCTACAGGTAAAAAAGCCTCCTAGGCCCGAATGTGTGAGAGACCGAATATGTTTGACAGTATTAAATGAGCAGCAGTAAACTGTTTAATTTCAACCTAAAACACAACAGATACTTGCCATTATCCTCATGTCCATAAGATTCAAAGGAAAACCCTAATCTGACTAGGCTGAAGGGTAGCGTGCTCCTCTTGTTTAGTGAAAACAAGTGCGGCCTAGTGTTCCCCAATATTTTTCTTCAAATTGATTGTAAAGGGTATCAGAAGGTATTCCAAATAGCCTCGATGTATTACGGTTTGTAGTGATTCTTCTATCTTTTCGGAGGTATAATCGAGACACTATCGACTGCCGAGTACTCGTTTATGCTCACAGGGCATTTCTGAAAAAAAAATCTGAAACGTTTCTTATAAGTATGAAAGTTGTTTATAATTCGTTATGGTATCCAAAAATGTTGAAATATACAAGGTATTCTATTTAAGAAAACAAAGGTGGTATATGAAACTGTACTGCACTGTACTCAATTCTAAATCTTGAAATCATAGACCGTATTTACTAATAGCCACTACCAAATTTTCAGATCGATTTGTCATTTCATTCTCCAGATACATCTAATAGTCCACTTAAATTTGGCTTTCCTGTCTTCAGATGTAGCTTGTAAAGCAGTTTTGATATCAATTTATGAATTTATAAATGCTTCATCCCGAAGAAAACCAGATTTGACATATCATAAAAATATTCATAGAAAAGTTTGTCTTTGTTTTTTTTATTTATAAAACAAATCAAAAAATGGATCGATTATATTTTGTCGTAAAAATGTCTCCATATTAAATGCGTGTTTTTCTGGTTATATAGGATTAGTTTAGTTTAGAAAACTGGTTCTGGATAAAAAAATTTCCATGATAACACCGTCATTAAATTGTGCATTCAAACGTAATGTCTTAATCTCAACTAAACTATTTCGAAAGCAATCTGGTAATATTTCTAACCTTTGGCATATATATCGTGATAACATAAAACATTCTGTATTAACATTCAATAACTATATAATATTCACCATGTTGCCGTCTACAAATGCTTCAAGAATTATTTACAAAAAATGCCTGAGAATTACGAAAATAAGTTCATCCTACAGTACAGTTACTAGTTCGAAAGAAGTGATGGATAGAGAGAAAAAGTACGCAGCACATAATTACCATCCGTTACCTGTAGCTTTATCCAAAGGCAAAGGTAAGTCTTGTGTTATAAATATTGGGTAATCCTTCGTGGTAGGAATCATTTCTAGTTTTAATCAGTAACATACAGGTACATGCTATTTTTTATTATACCTTTCCTTTTTCTTATACGTATGTGCAGAAGAGGTACTAAAAGTAATGAGTCTGTAGATTAGGAGTAATAATTCAATGTGTCATTAGGAATGAATTTATCTTTCTCACGTAACAAATGTGGAAATTAGCGGATAGAAATATGTCACACTATAGTCCATTCGGTATTAACTGAGAGTGAAAGAATTTTAAGAATACAAACATGCCGGTACATCAAAGAAAGCAACATAGTCGTCTCAAGCAAGTGGCACTGCAATTCATCTACAAAGTCACTGAGATATTTCTACCCGCTATGTCCCTTGAGGACGCCGCTAAGAATCCATTGAAATAGTGACTTGCTATAAAGAACTTCAAAAGAGGCGGCCGACACTGTTTATCATAATGCGTTAAAAATAGTATTGATAGACGTTGGACTAGGGTGTCAATATGAATTTTCCAATGATATATTCTGTATGATGCGAAGATAATTGAAATACCGTGAAAACTAATTTTGTTTAAATATTTTTCTTTGAGACGGATAATTTATATTTGAAATAGTTTTAATTTAGGATTGTTACCTTCTACAGATCTATAAAATAATCAGGATATTTAATTTAAAAATGAATACAAATGTAGAAAGGGTAAAAAATTACTGCATTTGATATATTAGCTTTTTGAAACAAAATCTAATTTGTCAGTAACTTCAATTCATAAAATTTTGCATATGAAAATAAATATGTATCATCTGGTGACGTTTTAAAGACTATCCAATTTTTTTATCCAACCTATTTGGATCAAAACATTATAATTTGTCTTTTGACAAATGAAAAAATACGGAGACAGAATCAAAAATCAAAATTTGATAAATAAGGTGTGTATGAGGTAAATTAGACATTGTGTCTTTTTCAATGAAAATAGAACTTTTAACAAATAACAATAATTAACTAAAATGTAAAGACAAAAGTACATCACAGCAAATGCTCAAAATGCTGGCCTTGTTCATGATAACACAACTATTCCTTTCATTGAATATTATTCACTGTACGATTAATATATATTCCCTCTGACCATAAACTCTATTTGTCCATAGACGTTGTTGGCCACCTCACTGGCCCATTTTGTCCTATCCATTCATCATCAAACCTTTCAGTTAGGTAATTAGATACTCGTCTGGTAGTGTGCGGTGGAGCATGATCATGTTGAAACTAGATGTTGTTGTTAGCCAAAGGTAGATCATTCAAATAGTCTTCGAAAATCGACATTAAAAACTGGTGATAGGTTTCTCCATTCAGAATTCCGTCAAATAAATGAGGACCCGAAATTCTATCTTTGTAAATTCCTGCCCACACGTTAATACTAAATCGCA